TAACGAGTAAGCAACAAGAAGCCTCGAATAGCAGCAGGAAGAACACTTATTCTCTTTGAATCTGAACATATTCTTTTCTTTTTTTTTTCTTTTAAATTTCAATTAATAACCGGGTGAAATATAACCTGTCAGGTAAGGGAATAATATATATGCACGTATCCTAAACATGCAAACACTCATATTTTCATGTCTACCTTTGCAGGTGAAGACTTGAAAAATATCTACTAATTAGGACTTCCTTCCATAATTTATTGTTGGCGGACAATCTTAGCAACGTAAGGTATTAAGATTTCACAGTATTGATGACGAACACAGAAAATAAATCGCATGGACTACTCGAGACAGTATTAAAGATATGAGAGAAAAATAAAGGACTAAATAATTGCTAGACAGAAAATATGGCTGTCAGTAAGAGGAACATTCCACGACGCTAAATACGAAATGGATATACAAAAATCTCTCAGTTGTCCACATACATAAGAATTAAAATTCAAGAAAGTGAGTCTAGAGGACGGAAAATATGACGCCGAAAATCACATTGACGTAGCTAAACTCACGTTCTAAAACCCAAGGAAAGTATTAAGAAAAAGAAAAATTTAGTTAGAAAATAAGAGTTCTGAATTATGTAATATCTATTTTATCTGACGGTGAATGCTGGAAAGTCTTCTTACAGATGAAGAGACTTGAAGCAACAAATGCTCTACAGAAGGATACTGAGAATACAGTGGACTGAACATGTTACCAACGATATCTTAAATAAAATTGAAACTTCTATCAGAAAGAGATAGTTAAAATTATGTAATAACACCTCTGCTATATGGCAGTGAATACTTGACAATTTCCCCAGAAATTAAGAGATTTCAGGCAAAGAAGAACGTTTTCAGATAGATGTTGACAATACCGCGGGCTGAAAAATGTAAGTAATGAGGAATTATTAAGACAATGGAATCGAGAAAATGCTTTCACTTGGTATCAGAAAGGCAGTTGAAAATTTACAGGTAAAGTAGAAAGAGGTCCGGGAGAACTTGAAACTCACAGGGCATATTGAAGAGGCAACGGTAGTGATGGTGAAAATACAAAGGTTACGAATGATAAGTTGTAGAGAGCCATGTTCATCCACGTTCTGAAAGAAAATAGCACCGAAGAAAAATTTGTATTACTAATTGGTCTTTTATTGGCCATTATCTGGGAGCTGGTTAATCACATGCCATCGTCCGTCCTGGGTATGATGATAAACTACATCCGCGTCCTATGTAAGACGATAAACTGTGTCCAATAGCAAAGCTTCTGATCAGGAGGTTTTGACGAACGTAGAACCACATCTTAATTTCTGGTGTTCCCTAATCCGGGGTGGTAGCACCTATTCCTAACAGGTGCTACCATCCCAGCTATGGGCAAATAGTTAACACCCAAACTTGTGTCAAAATACCATGAAAGTCTAAAAATAGGTTTTAATTCCAGAAATACTTTGTAAAAAAAAAAAATTATTACCAGCAATAATTTTTGAAGAAAAAATTATTATCAGCAATACGTTAAAAAAATACGTGCAATACAAACATCTATACATTCCTGAAAAAATATTACCAGCTATAGATTTTTTGAAGGAAAAATATTCCCAGAAATAGATTTTTGAAGAAAAAAAATATAACCAGCAATACATTTTTGAAAAAAAAAGTATTACCAGCAAAAAACATTTTGGCGGCATTAAATATCCCATTGAGGTTGATATGCCGTAAAACAAACCAACCAAAACAAACCGTAGGTAACCAACAAATATACAGGGTGTCCCCACCCACAAAAAAAATTGACATTTTGTAGTATAATAATTCAGCCAATTCCCGCTTAAATGATCTCAAATTTAAAAAAAAAATAAAAAATAAGCTGACTGTGCGGACTTACATTGAGAATCTACGAGGAAGATGAATCGGGCGTGTCAGTGATAACAATGTGCTGTTGAAATGGCTACTACGTTCACCTGATTTGACACCTTTTGATTTTTTTTTCTATGGGGTTATGTGAAAGGATAGGTCTATATCCGCACCTCTTCCAACAAGCCTGGAGGAACTTAAACAGCGAATCACAAAAGTGCTGGAGAATGATACGCAAGACACCCTACAGCGTGTTTGGCAGGAGCTGGATTATCCACTTAATGTGTGCCGTGTCAAAGGTGGTTCACATATTCAACATTTGTGAAGTTTTTTGAAATATGTTATAAAATCTACACCACTTTAAATATCGAATTTTGATAAATCTTATTTCTCACCATGGAATCTAATTTCGTTTGCTTGGGTCACATAGTTAAATATTCACATTTTAAATTATGTCAATTTTTGGAGGGCACCCTGTATTAATGTTCTCACGGTGTGAATCTCTTCATCTAATAAAAGCAGTGTTTTGTGCTTGGAATGGCTTATCCGAAGGTGATATTTCCGCTTTTGAATGTTGGCCGAATCCTTGTTCTGTTTTGACTGATGTTGAATTACGTAGTGCCGAGAAGAAAGAAAAATTGCAAAAGAAAGAGCACATTTTTCGGTTTGCCAAATGGTGTTCAGTAGGAAGATGGCGTATCACCAGCACTTTCGAGAAGACCTCTCTGATCTAAAAATCCATTTTTTATACTAATGTTCGAACTGAATCGAGAACTGGTAGAAAATAAAAAGCAATTGGTTAAAAGACCATCGATTAATCTTTTCGGAGCGCTTCTGTGCTGGGATGCCCTCTGGGTTCGTTAGCAATTCATTTTAGCCCTACTGCCAGCCATTCATTTTTAGTGGATGATAATATTGTGTGATTACTGACGATCACTTTCCAAAATTTACGTACACTGTATACAGACTCTGTTGAAAATAGATAACATTGAGTAGGCTTAAAATCATTTTTTTTTCCCAGATGCAGAAAATATTTTAGTTCGTTATTGCAGATGGAATATAAAGAATCAACGTTGATGAAGTTGGGTTGGGGGTAGTCAATAGGCAGTGATAAGAAAACTAAAATCTGATCCCTGTAGGTTTTATATAGGAATAGTGTCGCTGCCGACACTGGAGTTTGAACAGATCACCAGAGAGAAAACAGACGATCACGTGATGGTAAAGGATATATATATATATATATATATATATATATATATATATATAGGAATTAGCGTGGCGTCTAAGTGATCACTATCCGGATTACTTCGGAAGTATGGTGGTCAAACTCTCTGCCTCTAGGCAAAGAGGATCCCCAGACAAGGCTATGCCGAGGGGGAGTCTCTCGTCTTAGGAGACAGCTACCGACCCCAGTTTTACGGGGTCTACAGGGAATCTTTGGCCGAACTTACGGGCTCGGATACCTTACAATAAACTCGGAATTGTGCCACATTCGACCGCGATTAATGAATATCTTACTATTCGGATCACTACTATCGAGCAAGTACTATTAGTTATTCGATGGCGTCTGATACCAGTATTATTAATATAGTTGTATCTGCAATTACAAAGTCTCTACTACAACGGGAATTACCAAATTACATTACAAAAGTGGCAACGAATTTTCGTTGACATCACAAAAGTAGGTGATGTTCACATGAACTTGAAACTGATACAACCATTAATAATACTATAGACTATGTATTACTGATTCTTTTAAACACATAGGCAAATATCATCCTTATTTCATTGGCATATATAATTTAGTATAACGTGTGTATGTATGTATGTATATATATATATATATATATATATATATATATATATAACCATGTGTGGCAGTAATATTCTGAATATGGATGAATAGTAGGATTAAATATATAAGATACATTCTAGAGAGAAAAATTGTCTAGCACGACACAGTGAACCCACTTTGTTAGCATATTGAATCCATTCCTAGGTCAGCACCTAGCAATGGATTCAATATAGTCTTGCCGCTTCATGTCGGCCAAGGAGGTTAGCTCGAGAAGGCGAAACGTCACTCTTTTGGAGGTTAGCATCATCTATGTCGATAGAAGGCAGAAAGGTGGCTCTCGGATGATTAATGGAGAGCAGTTTTGCTTTTTAGGCATTAAAATAAACAAGCCATTTACCTTATTAAGTTGATCAAAATTTACTATCGAGACAAGAATAAATGGTTGTCATCAGTGTAGATACCAAGTTGAGAGCTGATGCCATCGGGAATGTCGTTAATGAAAATTTAATAAAAAGAAAAAATGTCGGTCCAAGAGGAAGATAGCTAGCCACTGAGTTGATTCGCTTGTACGAATGGATAGCGGAACGTTGGTGAGAGCTTTAGCAAAGAGAAAAAAAACTAAAAGCCACACGAGGTAGATATCTCTATAAATTTCTATGTCGCGAAAAGAAGGTGGCCCATAAAATATGTGCATAAGTGAACCCTGTTGGAATTTGAACTCGGCACGCCGATTTCAGTTTCTGCACCGATAACCGCTTCACTGTGTACATTTACACATGGTAGAGTGCAACAATAATAGTAAAACTATATCATTTTGAAACGCTTATGGCAATGCTCATTCATTTAAGTAAAGGGTTCAATCGTTATCTATCTTCTTTATTCTTATACTCTCTAGTTCCTCTCGTCTTATCTTGGATTCATACCTGAATACCTCATTCAACATTAACGTTCTAACTGTGCAACACTTTGATTATCTGTTATACCAAACTTAGAGATACTATATAAAAAGTGCCCATTTCTCAGTTACTGAGATGCCTGAGAAAAATGTTTCTTAAACTTTTCAAGATCTCTCTCTCACACACACACACACCTCAAAATATTTGCTATTTATACGACTTTTGCAGTTAATTTAAAGCCAGAAAATATCTCTAGATTGTAAGAAAACTTACGGATACCAGTCCTACGAATTAACACATAGCTGGGGGAGAAGAGGTGGATTCGCACCATTTCCAAGGGTATTTTCGTGTGAGTTAATATAATGAACTCTACTGCAATAGGAACACAGCTGTCCGATTCCCAATTCCGGGCCATTTATTACACCAAACGCACATCCAAGGTTACAGCACCTGGTATTTCCAAGCGGTCACCCATCTAGGTATTGAACAGCCTCGACGTTGTTTAAGTTCGGTGATCGTACGAGAACCAGCGTTTCAGCGTGATATGGCCGTAAGCCACAAAATATTTGCTGATTAATACAAAGTATTCACATCCGAAAACATCGTTCAAAGATTAAAAAGAACTAAAAATTATTTCACATTCATTTCATATTCTACCTAATTCGTTACGAAATGACCAATAAGGTTGAAATTTTCGGTAAATAATACTTCACCTTGATTGGCTTTCGAGCCTTAAATTCGGTTAAATTCTATGAAAAGGAAGTTTAGTTAAAAACATCTCAAATCAACACGTGGTCATTGCGGTTTTGCTAGCCGGAGTATATTTCGTGTGACACAAATTATTCCGCCTTTCATTTTTTTATTTATTTAAATAAGCTGTCAACAGGATATTTTTTCTTTATTTTAATAATCTTGACTTATGGGCCCACAGTCAAAATCTCATGACACTTGTTTTGGCAGTAACGTCACCTCTTGTCTCTTTTTTTTCTTTCTTAGCACAATTCCATTTAACCCAACGGTAAGTTCGACTCTTTTAGAGTTAGTCTCTTTAAAACCTTCAGATGTCCGTGACTTGCTGAGTGAAGAGGTCATTTTCTTAATTAGAAGCTGCATCCTTACAGTCCGTCTAGTCGTTTGGCTTCTCTCACAGATGTTTGGCACAATCATACAAGCAAATTGTTAGCCTCAGGAGACCAAAAACCGCAAACATATCCACTTGTAAACCTAAACGCTCTCACCTACAGGTAAAGAAGCTTTATATATCATCCTTAACTCACCCTGCGCACGCATACACACTCCTTTCTTAAACCTACATACAAAGCATTGTGTATTTGTACTAGTATTAAAGACGTATAAAAAAAAATAACATTTTAAAGTAATATTTACATGATGAACATCGGCAATCCTTAAACTTTTCAAGCTAAGGGCCATATTGTATCATTTCTATATTTTCGTGACCCAAAGAAAAATAAATATTCAGTGACTGACATGGGAAGGTGACCTAGTTAAAAGTATTCAAAATAAATTCTTTTGGCAAGATGGCTAACGTGAACCTTCGTGTCCGCCAAAGAACGGTGTTTCAAAAGGACAATTTTTCCATTGACTCCGCTATTATTTTGACTACATTCACTTCCTATTTCTGCATCTGACAATAAACTACATCCAGCTTAAGCTTCTAATTACGAGATTGGAGGTTTTGAAGAGCGTGCAACCACCTCTGCTGTTCTCCGGTTCAAACTGTAGCAGCACCTTTTAGGGTCCCAGCTATGGGCAAATAGTGCTCGCCCTCACCAAAAAAAAAAAAAAAAAATCAATGAAATTATAAAAGTACATAAAGTTACCAACAATTAATAGCAAAATGACCAGCAATACATTTTGTCTGTAGCTGAAGGTATGCAATTGCGTTCAAAATATATTTAGTTGAAGCCATAAACTTTTAGATTTTGGCATTAAATAACCCATAGAGATTGATAAGCCATGAAACAAAATCGACCAACGAACATTCATGACATTAATCCATATAATATCTTACAAATTGATCAAGAAATCGAACTATTTCAAAATATAACTCCAACAAAACTATAACATAAAACACACGCCTCTAGTATTATGTTCACACAAACATTTATATACGCAAGAGCTGAATATCATCTACCATATATTCATTTTTGAAAGTAGAAAAACATTTCTATTACTTTAAATCTCCCCCAAAAATCAAATTTCGGCATCAAATGACCTATTAGGACTTTATATGCCGCTAAACAAACAAAAAAAATCATTCACTCCCTCGGCAATGTTTTACAAGATTATAAAAAAATAACTTACTTTTTATAAAGACTTATTTACCATTCTTATGAAAAAATAAATGGGGGAAAATTTTTAGTCAAAAATTAAAAATTATTTTCAGATTTATTTGTATTTGTTTATCATTTATCAATTTATAAATATTGCATAAGTTGCCTCGAATTTTAAGAATATTGTGAATATAAAATATTTAGAATCTAATAAAGTGTAATGTTTTTGTATATTTTCAAACAAAGAAAATGTATAAATTCCATGTTTGGGTTTTATTAAAAAAAACATCTAATCACTTTTTAAAACGCCAAATCTTGGGGAGGGAATGAAGGCCGTTAAACTTGGCAATTTATATATATATAAACACACACACAGACACACACATCTCTCTCTCTCTCTCTCTCTCTATATATATATATATATATATATATATATATATATATATATATATATATAAAATTATGAAATGGACGAAGTCCGACAATTATTTTAAGACAATTTTATATTTATACATTCTTTTTATAGACACAAATGTTTAAGTAAATTCTCTGTTCATAATAAACAGTATTAAACAACATTTACCAGCCTGAATGTCCGAGAAATTTTCGCAGAAAATATTTGTCCATTTCATAATGTGTGGCGTCATTTGTTTACATTTGAATGCGCTTTGAGCAGATATGAATGTACGTGAGATTCTAGAAGATTGAAGTTTAAAGACAGTAAATTCGACCTTGCTAACCGAACGCTCCTCTGTCGCCAAATCGGTTAAGGCATGTCAAGCTAAACGACGGTTCCGTATCGGATACAGGTTCTGTTAAAATTTCTCGGACGTTCACTGCCGGTAAATGTTGTTTAATACGGTTTATTATAAACAGATATTTACTTAAATACTTGTATCTATAAAAAGAATGTATAAACATAAAAATGTCTTTTTATATATATATATATATATATATATATATATATATATATAAAAGAAATATAGTCTTAAGGTGTGCTATATTCATCGGATAAAGTGCTTAATATCAGATAGAGCGTGTGTAAATATAAAAGTGAACATAGAAGTCAACACTTAGAGGCGACAGTCTGTTTCATGCTATATGCAATCGTCAGGCCACGTGTGTTGTTAATTTCTCGGCTATTTAGACATATACGGGTCAGTGGTGAATTGTTGGTAGTCTATTATGGCGGTTATTTTACCGGAAGTTGTTTATTTATTTATTTGGGTTAAATTATTTTGCTTGTTTTTATTTAATTTTATTTTTTGTTTCTTATTTATTTACTTATTTTTTAATCGGTGTTTTTTTTTTTTTTTATTAACGTAGTAAAAATTTGTTTATATCACTTATTTAATAGTTTTGTTTTGGTTTGAAAATTTAATTAAAGCTATTTGTTCGGTTTTGGGGTTGGTTGTTGGAGTTTATTCTATTATTTTGGCAGGAACAGTTTTTAATTTGTTTATTTGGGTTGATTATCGGACGAAAAAATAGCTATAGCTGTTATATAACGATATAAATAAATAAATACTACGTTACTTAAAAATCGAAAAGCGAAAATATACAAGTAAAATAAATTGACCAAAATTCATCCAAGTAAATAAATAAACAAACCAATCCCGATAAAGTTAATGTTAAAATATGGCTATAAATAGCTGATTTTTTTGTTGTTGTTTTTTTAAATCGTTACGTATTTCTGTTAGCAGCAGTTGTAGTAGTTCTTCTTTAAAATGTAAAGATAGGTTGCATTTTCCCCAAACCAGAAATAATTTAAGCCATACGAGATAGGAAGTCGTTGAGAGCTATACTAGTTTGTTCTTCCCTATGTATTTTAATCTGCTTGAACTGAATATGGAATTCATTTCTCGAAACATATTTCACAGAAATAATAAATTCGAAAGCGAGAATAATAGTATCACCAACCCTTTTTCTATAAGGAAACATTTGGCATTCATTAACCGAACAGCCATTACTGCTTTCCGTTGAAATTAATAAAACTATCACTTGAGATAATTTTTCAGGATAAATCCAGTTCCTGTTATAGCTCTTTCCAGTATCGTGGTGATTTTTCTAATCGCGTCTAATGTACACGTTCTGTTTCTGTGTTACTGGGAATTACGAAATGGGTACTTGTATTTTTACAACATGGGGAGGGAATCTTTATTTCTTTTTCCGTAGCCTGTGATAGTTAGTTCAATTAAATAAATCTTCAAAGCGTAATTCGATTTATACCGGCATATACTTGTAACAGACACAAAGATGATGCATTACTACATATCCGCGTCCTGGGTATGGCGATAAACTACATCCACGTCCTGGGTATGGCGATAAACTACATCCGCGTCCTGGGTATGGCGATAAACTACATCCGCGTCCTGGGTATGGCGATAAACTACATCCGCGTCCTGGGTATGGCGATAAACTACATCCGCGTCCTGGGTATGGCGATAAACTACATCCGCGTCCTGGGTATGGCGATAAACTACATCCGCATCCTGGGTATGGCGATAAACTACATCCGCGTCCTGGGTATGGCGATAAACTACATCCGCGTCCTGGGTATGGCGATAAACTACGTCCAACAGCAAGGCCTCTTGTTTATATTACTAGAGTCTAACATCTCAAATATAAAAGATTTTTCAGAGTTCAAGACTGCATGTTTATAAGGATTCTCCTTGTTGGTGTTGTCGTAGCAAGGTTGTTTTAGTCCTGCTTCTAATGGGTTGTTCTCTTCGTATCCAAAAGATGCCCACATCTATGTGATTGTGTCCCTTCAGGACGATGGTGATCAGGGCATTCTACAACTTCATGCCCTTTGTAACTCTTAATAAATTTACTTTTTGCTCTCTCTTCTAAACACCGATTCGCCATTCATTAACTCAAGCTCTCCAAGTTAGTGATACGTTGCTTTCCTTTGTATCTCTTACCCTCAAACTATTCTGTGAGTATCAATTTTTCCAAACCCTTTTTCCTCGTTATGTGCCCTAGAAATTTCAACTGTCTCGTTTTTGTTGCGACTGTCTAGAACTTCATCGAAAGTAATTTTTTGTTTATTACTAAGAGAAATTCATGGGAAAATCATCTTGTGAGCCAAAACGTGTCTTGCTTTTGCGTCGATATCGAAGAGTTGCAAGTTGTCGCGCCTTTACGTCATTTATTCATTATTATAAATTGTAAATTGAGTATCTGCTGTCTTAAATATGGACATGATCAGGTTTCAGTATTACCTTGTACATGTATTGTAAATTATACATCGCTTTTTC